TCATATTTTGGTTTCTAGCATTTCTCGTGAGTGTGCGTGTCTGCAACTCTCTTCAGGGTATTTGTAATGGTTTTTAATATCGTCAATTGTAAATTGCTAATGGAGGAAGGTTTCATTCCCTTCATTTGGCTGCCTCCAGTTCAGTCTTTGCTTGTAATGTTATCTGTCTCTAAAGAATGTTAGCACTTAGCAATTAGCATACCTCCCACGTTTATAGATTGGGAATTGGTGCTTGTTTCCTGATACTTGTACTTCATTGTGTGCTTCTGTTTAAGGATCTTACATTCCAGGTAGTACTTTAAGTGTAATCATGAACCTTTTAAGTCTTTTACAAATGTAGGTGGTAATAACTTAATGTAAAAGTGTCCTAAGGGATGTACCAACAGTTAAAGAGCTTTGGCCTGCATGTTGTTGGATGTCTCAAGTGAAACTAGGGAGGGGTGGGGAGGGATTAGGAGGGAGAGGGTGGAGATGAGAAAGAGTAATTGGATTTTCTCCTTTCCGATCCTTTGTTTGTAGCAGTATATCATTCCACTTTCTCATATACTGACTTATATTTGCCATATGGAAATATGGTTATGTATAACATGTCTTGCAGATTGCAGGGACCCAGATGGTTCTAGTTCTAGAAATGGGTGACTTTAGCATAATTGGTGTCAAGCCAGGGATAAGTTATTGGATGCAACTTAAAAACTCAACAGGAAATGTGAAAATATTCTTTAGAGTCAGCCAGGATCAGTGAACTTAATGTATGGAGATATTTGATGGAGGGTTTTTTAGGTTGAAGAGGAGTGTGAAATATAATGATGATGAATGGGAAAGTGAAACTCAAATGAATCTGAGAAAGATGGCAATTCTTAAAGTACCCAACTCAGGACTTCAGGAAATGAATCTTATTATGTAATAGTTAGCAGTGGGTACAGGTCATGGCTGTCGTAACTTATTTCATTCAAATATATGGCATGAAAAACCTAATTTCTGGACAAAAATCCTAATTTCTGGACAAAAATGGCACTTGGTGAAGATATCAGCTACCTTAAGTAGTAAGTGTATTTAGTTTTTTGAGTCATAGAACTGCATTGTTGAATGTCCTCTACTGGAAAGGATATGGTGCTTGCTTACCTTACCATTTTTCAATTTGAAGAAGACAGATGGATAAAGGAAGAATTAGAAATTGAATTACTAGTTTGGCTTTCCCATGTTATTAAAAGATCAGGAATTTCCAACTTTATTGGACTAAACTTGTATGGATTGTGCCGATTTATTTTTTATTTTTTTTAAATTTACTTGTTATTATTATTATTATTATTTTTTGTATGTGAACACTCACACTTCTGATTTATGTTTTTATTTTCAGCTATATGTTGTAGTGCGC